GAACATATGATTGTATCATATTTAAACTTCTCAAACTATTGCCAAATTTTAATTGTGTTAAAATTTAATTTTTTTTTCCTTTTTACTTTTTTGATATAATTATACTTTTGGATTTTCGTTTTTTCATTTCGTATTTATAATCATTTACATTATGATTTTATTTCAGATATTTTGTGAATTAATCCATTGTGTGCTAATTGATTTAGGCGCATTTTGCGCCATTTGCAATTTTTGAAAATTTATTCTTCGTAAAATTTTTTGAGAGAAAAAGAAATATTCAATTAGTGACTGATATAGGAGAACTAATTTCGAAAAAAAAAAAAAGGAACGGTGATTTATTAATGAATATTTGCTGAACAAATAATTTTTATTTATTTGAAAACTGAAATTGTCAAATTAATTGGATCACAAATGGTTATGGTAGATAGACTCAATTGTCGTATTCAATATGTCAATGATTCGGATCCATTTGCGACAACATCATGCTCACACCTGGAGCCAAATCGTCCTATAATGTACAACTTTTTGCTTCATCAACCAATTGGTGAACAATTGCCTGAAGTTATTCGTATACTTCATGCGCCACATAAGGTATATTATTATTATTCGTCATTATTATTATTATTATTATTATTATTATTATTATTATTATTATTATTATTATTATTATTATTATCTATTATTATTTATTATTATTATTTATTAATATTATTTATTATTATTATTCGTTATTATTATTATTTTAACTATTACTATTCTTTTAATGTCAATATGTTTTCCATTTTTTGTTTGAGGAAATATTTCATTTTCTTTTAGCATTATACTTATTTATTACATACTAATTGTTACTTTTAAAAAATAAGCGAGAAAAATAAATTAATTACAAAAATGAAAACTTTTGCTTAAATTGTTGGAAGCAATTTTAAGTACACTAATAAATGAATGAATGAATGAATGGATTACAATTAAGTATTACTATTTATATCAAAATTTTTCCTTATTTTTTTGTATTTTATTATTGTCTTCAGAACAAACTATCAAACTTTTTGATAAACATAACTTAAATTTAATAAGATAGAGAAAAAAAAAGAATTCTTAAAATATTTCAATTTCGATAGAATTTGGTAAATCGCTAAAGTATTTCAAGTTTGTTTACAATTGACTTAATTAGTTGTTTTGATAGTTAAATAATACTTTCACATATATTTATATTTTTTCTCTTTTTTTTTGAGAACAATTTGCTGATTATTTTAATTAATTAATTAATAATAATATAGCTAATATAATTTTAATTAATTATAATAATCACTAAATTAAATCATTGGGCCACAAATGATTATGGTAGATGGATCATAATAATAACAATAATAATAAATAATAATAGTAATACTAATAATAATGATAGAGATTAAATCATTAATTATAATAACAATAGCAGATTAAATAATTACAGCCAAATAACGCGGCATTACAAATATACAAGTATGAGGGTAGTGTTGGTGATTATGGTTCATATTTGGATTCCGAAATGTCACTTATGGAACAGGAAGATGAACTTGAAATTCTTAAAGCTGATCCGTAAGTTTTCCAAATCTTTATTTCTTTCTTTCTTTCTTTAAAAAAAAAAAGAAAAGTAGTGCTAATTATAGAGAATATTTTAATTTATTCAAAATATGTCATCTAATTCACACATAAAACTACTCAATTCATTTGCATACAAAATTAAATTTTGTTTCAGTTTAAAAATTAAAACTTTTATTTATCACAAATACATTATTAGAAGAATGTTACAAATAGAGATAATGAAAAGAAAAGATAGGAAAAGATAAGAATTGATAAAGATTATCGATGACATAAGTTAACGAATGACACAATTTATGATAAATTGAGAATGAAATAGATATGAAAGAAAATTATATAATGCTCAAAAATTTTTCCAATTTAAATTTATTAACGATAGTACTGCTTGATAGTATTTGCACATAATAAGATGTAAAATATCATATAGTGATAATATAAATGATAATATATTTATCTCTCTTTCTACATTTATATATGATTGTTGAAATTATCATCTTATCATTAGCTCTTCTCAATTTTATCATTCATTCTCTTCCTCTATTATGCAATCCATGTTATTTCATTACTTTTAACAATTTCTACCATCATTTTTACACTTAATTTGGCCTCAATCTTATCTTTCGCAAACAGCGGGTGGCGAGGAGAGGGGTAGAAGCCCAGAGAGGAACAAAGAGAGAGAGAGAGAGAGAGAGAGAGAGAGAAAGGAATGTCATTTTGATTTAATTCAAAATTCTGAATGTAATGTTAGTACATTTATGGCAGTGACAAAAATTTTCACAATTTCTTCAACTCTTTCAACCTATTTTATATATACAAACGATCATCATTTCTCACATTCTAACTCTTTTTCATTCTGATATTCATTCCTTTTCATTTCAATTACTACTTCTTACTTAATTCATTTTAATTATTTATTGCTATTAGATGATCCATTTTATATGATATCATACTAATATGATAATTTTGTTGATAATAATTAATGATTAATCGTACTGATGTTAGATATTTATGCGATAGATTTATGTGCTAATTTGACTATTAATTAATTTGATTATTATAATTACTTATTTAAGTAGTTAATTAATTAAATTTTTATAATTATTTGTTTAAGCAACTCTTTTTTTCACCTTTTTGTTTATTTTCTTGTAAAAATTTTTTACTTTTATTAATTATTTTCTCTCTCTCTCTCTCCCTCTCTATCTTTCTCCGTTTAAATGCTGGGTTAATTAAATAGTATTTATAAACCTGCATATCTGCATACTTAAATTCACTACCTTAAATTAATTTCATCATGACTGTTGATGATTTAAAATTTCTCATTGATAATTTTATTTGATTATAATTTAATTTATAGATTTCTTTCTTTAATATATCCTAATTGATATCACTGTAATATTGGAATCACAAAAATTTTATCTTTGAAAAAAAAAGTTGAAATTTTACTTCTATTGCAACTTTTTGAATCTTAGCACTGTTTAGTGCACATTACCTTATCACTAATTAAAAGTTAGTTCTTATCACTAATTACTTTTATGAGTTAACATCTCTTATATCTCATTTAGTAAATTAATCAAAAATTTCTTAATTTATTTTTTTTTTTTGCTCATTAAAAAAAATTAGTCTTCGAAGTTTTTATATATATTTTTTGATAATTATCATAATTTTGCTTTCTCCTTATCAACAGCCTATTGGATGCAAAAATTGCACTAAAATTTTTTTAGTTAATCAAAATTTATTTGTCTCACCACTCATAGATTAGATTAGATTAATTAATTTTTTGAATATTCTTGGCTTATTTCAAAGATATATGATTTTATATTTATCTTTTCATTACATAATTAGATTTGATAAGCAATTTGATAACACTTATTTCATTATTTGTTTTTTTAGAACTTTATTAAAATTTCCAAATAAATAGCAGAAATGTTTCTCTACTATTATTCATTATATCACTTCCTTATTTAAAGAAAAGTAAATGTGGAATATTTAATGATTTAAAATATTTTAATATTTTTTGCTCATTTCAAAATTATTAATATTTATCAAATTTTTTAATTGTAATTATATTATTTTAAACCATCAAATATTTCACACATTAATTTTTTTTTCGTGAAACATTGAAATTTTGTTTTTTTTTTCAACTTTGCACATACTTATTTATTTATTTAATTTATGCTTAAGTAGAATTTTATAGTTTCAATTTATTTTTTATCTTTCTTATTTACATAGTATTTGATATTATTAATTCTTCTGTATATCTTATTTTTGATACATATATCCGATTCGTTCTCTTTTTTCTCTTAAATTAATGATCACTTACTGATAATTTCAATTTATCGAATATATCCGATTCTTTCTTTCTTTTTTTTTAAATTAATGATCACTTACTGATAATTTCAATTTATCGAATATATCCGATTCTTTCTTTCTTTTTTTTTAAATTAATGATCACTTACTGATAATTTCAATTTATCGAATATATCCGATTCTTTCTTTCTTTTTTTTTAAATTAATGATCACTTACTGATAATTTCAATTTATCGAATATATCCGATTCTTTCTTTTTAAATTAATGATCACTTACTGATAATTTCAATTTATCGAATATATCCGATTTTTTTTTAATTCCTTTGATTTTCTTTATCGAATATATCCGATTTGTTTTTCTTCCTTTTTCTCTGTTCGAAATTTTTTCTTTTTTTTTTAACTCTTATTCATATTCGTTTATTGAAAGAAATAAGATAGCAATGACAAATATTCTGTACAATATATTTTTTGTTTATCCTATTACGATACGTTAATTAGATAGAAAATTTTTATACGAAATATTTTATCCATTTAAAATCTTAAAAAACTTGTTCAATTTATTTAAGTGACAATTTTAATTGAGATTTTTTTTTTCGTTTTCTTTTTACAAATCAAACAAATTAATAACAATTGTTTTCACTCATTTAATTTAATATTATATTATTCAAACTATTATACAACAAATTTTTCAAATCATTTGTCACCGTATTTCAACCATTTAAATTTATTTTTTTTTTTTTAATGTTTAACTTTTAATATTTAACTTTCAACGTATAAATCTCGCATAATTTATTTTGAGTAAAAATTTTAAAATGATTGAAAATTTTTGAAGTATTAGAATATTATTATTAACGTCAAATGTTTTTTTTTTCCTTCCAAACGTTTTTTTTTTACGTTTTATTTTTTTTATTTATTTGTTTGTTTGTTTGTTTATTTTTCAATGACTATTCTATATGTTTTTATTTTATTAATAGCTGGTGATATTAATTTCGAAAAATTATTCACTTCTAAACAGTCATATCTATATTTATTCAATTCAAATTTAAACGATTGCTGTTCTATTCATTCAAATAGCTATTAATGATTAATTGTCAACAACAACAACAACAATAATGACAAATAAATTAAATCACTATACTTCATCATATCCTAATCAACAATCAGTATTTAAAACTGAATTATCTGAAATTACCGATCAAAAAAGGCAAAGTATTTTAAAGCCTTATGCTAATAGCAAATCTTATTGTTTGACAAATTCATCATCGCATACTTTACGAAATTCTATTTTAAAAAATAAAAGCCAAAATATTGCAATTTCTGAAGCTGATGCATATCGTCCATGTGGTACTACTAATACTAATACTATTATCACTGATAATTTATCAACTATCAATACTACTCGATTACCATTAGCTGTGAAACCTTTACGTCAATATCAATTGAAAACGGAAAATTTGCATACTTCTGAAGAATACCAATGTAATAATAATGGTGCTACCATCTCATCATCATCATCGTCATCACCATTATCATTATTATCATCACCATTATCAACACTATCATCATCATCATCATTACCACGAATAGCAAAAACTGTCCCATCATCATTATCAAAAAATCTATGCAAAACATTATCTGATAATTTTAGGCAAAATTCACAAACAATTTCCTCAAATGATATTATTAAGTCGAAATACAAATATGAAACACTGAATGATAATAATAACAATATTAATAGTAATAATACACTGATGACGAAATTTTCACCTGAAATTAATTTCAATTCATTTAGCGATATGACAACATGTATAGCACGACCTATTTATTGTGATAATGAGATGATGAATGATAAAGTAGGTGATAACACTGTATCATCATTACAAAAAGCAACAAATAATGTTCATCAAAGAACAATGAATGAAAATGAACCAAAATTAATGAAACATTTATTATCAAATAATCAATTCAATAATGATAATAATTCAATGATTGATATTAAATGGGAGAAAGGAAATTATGAAAATATAAAAAACGAAATAAAAAATGATACAAATAAGAATTCAACTGTAAAATCAATTGTAAAAATTATTAAGCCAAGACGACGATTAACAATTGCGTCTTCAACAATAAATGATTGGCCAATGATAAAAAATGTAGCATTTGAAAAAAATATTACAAATGGTTTAAATATAAATGAAAATAATCAATCATTCAAAAATAAAAATAGCCGAAGAGAATTACCAAAAAAACAATGGTTTAGCTCATCAGTTGATGGACCACCAATTAAATCACAACAAATTAATGAAACTATAATTGATGATAATTTAACATCTAAACAACAATTTCATACAGCACATTTATCATCAGATAATAAGTTAGCAACAAATTCAATTCAAAAATCTATTATGTTAAAATATGATAGTAAACAAATTTCTAATAAACAAATGATTAAAACATCACCATCACCATCATCATCATCATCATTATCACAATTATCACAGCCATCACAGTTATCACAATTACCACCACCAAAACCCACCAGAACTTATGAGGAAATGTTTACTAATTTATCACAAATGGAAAAATCAAAAGATAGCATAAAATTAGTTAAAAAATCAATGCGGAAAACTTGTCCAATTATTATGGGTAATACAAAAATGATTCCTCCCAAAATTTATCCTAGTAATTCAAGTAATGATGATGATAATGATAATGATAATGATAATGATAATAGTAGTACTTCTGGTTTTGATGTTAATTTACATAGAAAAACGACTGATGCAGTAAAAAGTGATTCAAATGTTGAAACATCCGGTAAATGGCTTCAAACTCTTCATTTGCCGTGTGATTCATATTGTCCTCCGATAGATGAGGATGATTTGGCATTGTCAAAGATAAGGTTTCTCTCTCTCTCTCTCTCTCTCTTTCTTTTTTGGCAATTTTTGAAATTTCACTTTATTTATTAATTTTTCTTTCTTTTTTTTTATTTTAATTATTGTAATTGTTGTCTTCTTTATTAGCTGTTAATCTCTTAAATAATCTTCCCAATTTGTATAAAGCAAGAAAAACGAAAAAGTTTTTTATTTTCATATTTTAATTTGGTAATAATGATTAATAGGGCATAAAATAAACAAAAAATATGTGAAGTAAAATGAAATACCTTCAAAGTGTGTGATTTTTTTTCTTTTTTAATTTAACAGTTTTTTTTTTTATCAAATAAAATTAGTTAATAATTTATAATTTTATTAATAAATGGAATTTATATAAATGGTATTGATAATACGATAAATTCGAATGATATGTAATAAATATTGTAGCATGTTTACTTGAAATAAGTTTAAAGAGTGGACAAATGAGGGGAGAAAAAAAAGAAAGCAAAATAAACATTTTAAGTTGAAACAATTTAAAATGTTTTAAAAACTTTTTCAAAGAAGTGAAAAATCTTTTTTTTTTCTGAATAGAATTAAATGGTTCATATTAATTGGATTAGATTTATTTTGTACTTAAAAATTTTAATCAGAAAAAAAAATTATTTGAAATTTAATAAATAATTTACTTTATTTAAGAATTTTTATTTTTCCTTTTTTCTTTTCTTTCAAATACATTTCAGAAGGCGAAATAGTTTAGTGGTACGAACACAAACAGGTCTCAGAGTTAAAACAATAATTGGTATGAAGATTGATTTTTTTTTTCTTTTTCAATGTTAATTAATTTTAAAATTTTTTCAAATTTTTTAACCCAAATTTTTTGACCTAATAAATTTTTAAATTTTCTCAATTTATACAATGAAAAACAAAGAGCAAAGAAAAAGCAATAATAATTTGCAGATAAATTGCTTAATTCAAATGGACGTGATCAACGAAGAGCTCTATTTTCATTGAAGCAAATTTTTCAAGTATTATTAAAATTTTCCTTTTTTTTTTTCAAAATTTTTAAATTTCTTTTTTTTGGAAAAGAAAAAAAATTTTTTTTTGAAAATTATTTTGTACTTTTATTTTTACTTAATATAATTAATAATTATTTCTAAGGATGATAAAGATTTGGTACATGAATTCGTACAAAATGGTGGTTTAGAATGTATGATTAAGCTTGGAAGGAAAGCTGATCAAAATCATCAAAATTACATCCTAAGAGGTAAAACTTATTTTGTATAAATATTTCAATCGCAGTAATTACTCTTTAATATTAAACTTATAATTAATATTTAATTAATTAATTGATAAGGATTTATTTATTATTATATTTAATAAATCATTATTGTTGTTATTATTACTTACTATTTATTATTATTGTTGTTATTATCACTACTATCAGTTATTATCATTATCTAAATTAATTATCCAATGAATCATTAGTATTGCAATCTAATAAATCTAATATAATAAAATAAATTACCAATTAATATTTGAATTAATTAATACTATACGTTTGTTGGAATTGAAAATACAGTAGCTTGTATTGTTCATTAAAGTTAGATTTTATTTTGTTTAAGGAATAATTAATTATAAATTTATTATGAATATTAATCATGATTAAATCATAATTACAATTAAAATTATAATGCATTGACTAGTCAAATTCAAAAAAATAAAAATATTTCACCAAAAAAAAAAAAGAAAAAAAATAAAAAAGAAAATTTTCGAAAAGAAGCATAATTAGTTGAAATAACTTTAAATTAATTTTTTTGATTAAACTTTTTTTCCTCTATCCTACTGTAATATATTTTGAATTTAACAGAATGGAATAAATTGAGGAAAAAAAAAAAAACGAAAAAGGAATTTTGGGAGAGAGTGAAAAAGATGAATAAATTTGACCTTTGAATTTTAAGATGAATAAATTTGACCTTTGAATTTTAAGTTACTTTAATTTTACTTCAATGTCAAAGTTCAAAGATTCAAAGGTACACGTACGTTCAATTGTAGCATTAGGTCAAGTGATGTTGTACGTGGATGGTATGAATGGTATCATTGCTCATATTGAAACAATTCAATGGCTTTATGAATTACTTGATTCACCGGTTAGTCTCTCTAATACTTCAATTTTTTTTTTTTATTTTTTATCAAGAAAAAGTAAAAGTAAATTTTTTTTTTAATTTTTAAAAATAGTTAATTAATTGTTTCTAAGTTTTATAAATTGCTAACTTTTTATGTAACAAATATTATTATAACAAATATTAGACGTATTTGTAAGATCAAAAATAAAAGAAACAAATAAAAAAAAAACAAAAAAATAAAAAATTATATTGCTTAAAATTTTTTTGCAAAATCGTATTGTTAAAACTTTATTTTACCTAGGTAATGAATTCTGGGAGAGTGAAGAAATTGAATAAATTTGACTTTTGAATTTTAAGATTTATTATAAAAAGCATTTAATTTTCTAAATTAATATTATTCTTTCCATTTATTCCTTCGAATAGCAAAATCAATATGTTAAATAAATGAAAATTCTCTTTTTTTCTTTATAAATAATAAATTAAAATGAATTAAAAAGAAAGTTGAAAAAAATTTTGTTAATTTTTGCACTAACAAAATATTTGCATCTCTAACTTTTCACTAATTTTGATATTATTTTTTAAAATAAATAGTTGTGACTTATTGAAATAGATGAAGTTTAAATTTTTGATTAATAAAAGATTTAAAATCTTTTTCAAAATTTTCTTTTTGCTACTTTGATTAATATTTATTTATTTATCTTGCTTCAATAAATTTGACATGGTAAGGATTTGTTCAAAAGTTTTTTTTTTTTTGAAAAATTTTTAAATCCTTAAAATATATGAAAATAAGTTATTATATGCTTAATTTCCTTCTTTTTTGATTTCTTTTGTCTATCCTATATTAATTTTAAATTTAATTCTAGTATAAACAATGTTTAAATCGTTTTTAAATATTTTGTTTGCTCCAAAAAATCATTGTCCTTTTTTGTTTAGTTTGAAATAATTTTAGGGAAAATATTTGCTCGTCAAATATTTTTTAATAATTCGATTTGTATTTTTTAATTCATTAAAATTCGAAAATTCATATTTTATATTTATAATTCTCTTCCTAAATGTTGCTTGTTTGTTGATTTATAAATTGAATTTGTGAAAATTACAAAAGATAACATTTTATCATTAATAAAAATGAAAGAGAGATGCTAACAATTCCATTAATTATGTTAATGTTACAAATTTTAATAAATTAATAAATAAATTATATGACATATATAAATGACAATAATTTATCACAAATGTATTTTCATGATAATTTATAAATTTTATTAATTTATTTCAAAAGAAACTTTGAATTATTTCATCTCTTTAAATCGTTGTTTTCTTCGTTATAATTTGTATTGCTTCATTAATTAGCCAAATTATAATTCCATTTATTTGTAATTCATTTTAGTATGTCATAAATTGCTTAAAAATATAGAAATTCTGAAAATTTATTCCAAAAAAAAAAACGAAAGTAAGTATTGAAATAAATATGGAGGAAAAAAAAGGATAAATAATGAATTAGAAACAAATTAATTATGCCTTTATTAAGTTTTATTCATTTTATTATCACATAATTTTGTTTTTTGTTTTTTTTTTTTTTAATTTCTTTTTCTTTTAGGTTTTAATTACTTTATTTTCTTGTTATTATGAATTTAAAAAAAAAAGAAAAAGAAAAATGAATGTTTGCAGAATATTATTATTAACCCATTTGTTATGCTCTGAAATGAATTTCATTTCGAGCCGATTGGGTAAGCAATATGTTCACATATGATGGCGCTTTTGTCAATTTTATTAAATTTTATTATTCTCTCTTTTCCTTTTTACCTCTCTCTCTCTCTCTCTCTCTCTCTCTTCCTCTCTCCCTTCTTTATTTTCATGTTAAATTTTTTATTGTTTCCTGTTTTTTCTTCAATGAAATTATTGCATGTTCTTTTCATTCGTTTTTTTCCTTACTTTGTTGGTTTGATAAATATCAAAATTAAAATTATAAGTGATAAAATTATTAAAATAACCAAAAAATTGTTAACATTTTTTTTTCCTTTGCTTTCTTTAATAATTAATTTTAGTTTGAAAATGATTAAAAATGAAAAAGTAAGTTTTACAATTTCAAATGCAATTGTTTAAAAATTTGAGGATTTGAATTTTTTTCGAAATATACAAAAAGCAATTATTATTTTTCACAATTAATAAATTATCATTTATTAATAATTTTCACATATTTCACTGCTAGCACTTAAATCTTTTAAATTCAATGAAAAGTAACAAATGTTACAAATAACAATTTTTTTTTACAAATCTTTAAATTTATTCTAATGCAATAAGAAAACGAAATACAATTGTCGCAAGCATTGCTTCCTTAATTACTTTTAGTCATTTTTTTAAAAAAAAAAGACAGAAAGTTTAAAAATTCTTTTCTGATTTGATTTCTAAATAATAATAATAATAATTAATTAGATTTAAATAAAAATAAAAAGTTATCATAAGTTGACTGATATAGATTTTTAAATGGAGCTTATTTGAAAATATTGTAGTGCTAATTTGTTTTTCTTTATTATTTTGCTTATCAGATATGATTATTTTGAATCATTTTTTATCACTTTAATAATTCAAACTAATTTCAGTATCGATTGGTGGTGAAAACAGCATTAAAATTATTATTGGTATTTATTGAATATACGGATCATAATGCACTTCTGTTAATGACTGCTGTTACAAATATCGACAAAGCTAATAGTATTTTTATTTTTGTTAAAATTATTAACCATAAATTCTTAAAAATAAATTAATTATTATTAATTTTTAGTTCAAATTGGTAGGATAAAAATAATCATAAATTAATTAATAACATAAATTTCTCTATTTTTTCTTACTTCCATCTGAAATTTTCTTTAATGATACTTCTTTTTTTTTTTTTTTTTGAAAATTTAAATTTAATTAAGCCTTATTCTTTTTCTTTTTTTTTTTTGTTTCAAAAATTAATATTTTTATTTGAAATTAGATCGACCAGATTGGTATGCATTAATGAGAGTACTTAATGAAAAAGATACCAATGATGTTGAAATGCTTACATATGGTATGACTGTTATTAATAAAACACTAAATGGTGTCGCTGATCAGGTAAATTAAATTACATATATAATTAAAATTGAAATTAAATTATATTTTTTTCTTTTGAAATTAGAAATTAAAAGTGAAATTTTTGTTGAATTGAAGTGAGAAAGAAGAAAAAATAACATTGTATTCTAAATGAAATGAGAAAAAAAAAAAACAAACAAACAAACATAAAAGCAAATATTTGCGAAAACTTTCGTTTTTTCTTATTAAATTTTTTTAGTGCATTAAATCAAATTTTAAAAAAATGAATCAAAAAATTGATCGTAATTAAATTGCATGAAATAATTAAAAGATATAATTAGAAAAAAAAAAAGGATGGAAAATTATTAAAATATTAATTTAATTTTAGGATACATATTATGATCTCGTTGATTCGCTTGAATCACAAGGTTTAGAAGATTCAATGCGACATATGCTAAAATTAGATCATAAAGATCTCAAAGATCAATGTAAATTATATGAAAAAGTATTGAAGCAAGAAGATGAAGCAGAAAGTAGTGATGAAAGTATTGTTAAAATGAGGTATCAATTAAATTTTATCTTTTTTTTTTTTTAATTTATTTATTATAGTTTTAGTTTTTTATTTTTTTTTCTTTATATGTTAATATAGTGAAATTTTATTTTATTGTATTATTTTTGCTAGAATTGAATAAATATATTTGAATAAATTTTATTAGTTATACTCAACTTTTATTACTCAAATAATTTGATATAAGATTTAATTATTGTGAGAATTATGAGAATTTTTTCTTTTCTTTCCTTTTCCATATTACTAAGCAATTTTTTAGTGCATTAATTTGTTTGCTTTTTTTTTTTCTCCAATGTATAAGATATAATAATCGTAATAATATCTAAATAGTTGTATTAATTACTGTACTCATTATTATTACCATTATTATTTATTACCAATATTATTATTATTATTACCATTATTATTTATTACTATTATTATTTATTATTATTATTATTTACTGTTGTTATTACTATATTATTATCATTATTATTATTAATTATTTGATAAAAATCGTTGTTTTAGGGCGCAAACAGCATCACCGATTGTTGTTGATCGTAGAACAGCAATGCGGCGTCGACATCAGGAATCATTAGCCCGGCAACAGGAACATTATAATTTTCATAAGATTAACTCTGTAAATAATAATGTTGAAAAACTTGAATTGTAAGTTTTTGAAAATAAGCTTTTTCTTAGGCAAAAAAAATTTTATCAAATTTCAAAAATAAAAAATAAAAGTCAAGTTTTGTCGATAGTTTGGCTTATAATATAAATAAATGATGCTAAAATTACAATTTAATTTTCTAAAAATTAAACAATTATTTATTAAAGCTAGCATAAAGGTAAATCATATTGGATTTATGGTCCAATTTTTCATTGGTTTCCTTTTTTTTATGTTTATATCTCAATGTTGTTTTCATTAATTCATTTTAACAATGTTTTTTTCTTTTTCTTTTGTTTGTTTAATTTACTACTGGCGCAATTGTCCAAAAAAACCAAAAAAAAGGAAAAAAAATTTGCCATCCATTCACAATAATTTTTTTTTTTTTACAGATCTAAAACAAATACTACTGGTAAAATTGTTAATGGTACTAATGGTACAACAAATGATATTATTAATATTGAAACATCAAAAGTAATACCGCCATGGCGAAGGAAAGTTTATGAAGTTGAATCAAAGCTGAAAAATAATAATAATACAGTCAGTTACTGGTAAAACTTTCATCAAAAAAAAAAAGAAAAATGGGCAAAATTAATGGGGAAAATTTTCCTTTTTTTTTTTTTTTTTCGTTTTACAAATTTAAGTTTTATTCTATGTATAATTAATAGTAAACAGTTTATCCTTTCTAGAATGTAACGGTAAATGAGATGAGCGAACAATTATCAATAAAACAATCTCCAATGGCATCAATAAATTTGGTTGAAAAAAATTTAACGAATAATGATGAAAATGTAAAACCTGAAGAGAAACCGGTTTGACATTTCATGAAAGAGTTATCAATAATTAAACTTTGCAATTCTCAGTAATTAAATATGATAAATTGCTATTAATGTACGATTTTTTTTTTTTTTTTTACATATATAATTAATTTCCTTCAAGAAAAAAAATCAATTTTTCTAAAAATTGAAAATATTGGAGAATAATAATATTAGAAATACCATAATTGTAGAACGTTAAAGCAGATAAGATGAAAAGTTTTGAAATGTTGAATAAATTTAAATATAAGTTTTTTAAATAAAAAAATTTAATACTATTACATAAATAATATAATTAATTAGTTGTTTTTTAGGTTCGAGCACCTCCACCATCATTTCCTTCTACACTTTTCTCACCAACCGAAAATAAAACAATGGAATTTCCGGTACCAACTAAAAATGAACCAGAAACAATAGCAGAATCAAAAAGGATAGTATCGTCACCTACAAAAGCAAAAGTATGAAATTTTTTAATATCTATAAAAAAATTTTAAAATAAAATTTTTAAAATATCACACTTTGGAATTTTTTTCAAAAAAAAAAAAAAGAAATTCTTTCAAAATAATTTTTATTACAAAATATGTGAATAATTAATGATTTAAAATAAAACAAAAAAAAGGAAAAGAGAAACAAGAAAAAAAAAGAAAAAATTATATTTTAACTTCATACAATTACTGTTAATTTTATATAAAATTTTAAATTAAAACTATGTGAATTATTATTATTCATCAATAAATTATACTTTACCTTAAATGATTATATATGAATTAATTAATTTTAGGTAATCAATGATAATGATGATGATGATAATGATGATGCTACAACTGGTGGTAATGCATTTGCGGCACAGTTACGTCGTCGTGCGCTTAAACGTGAACAAAACGCTGCATTATTTGAGCCAAAACAGGATGAAGCAGAAATACAATGGAAAAAAGTTTGCCTTTTTTAAATTAAATAAAATTTTAAATCAAAAAAAAAAATCTCTTTGATGAGACATTTTTGAGTTAATAGTGATATGAATTTATAAATATATTAATTAAAGGAAATTTAATTTTACAGTTAACTTTTTAAAATTTTAATTATGGTAAATTATTTAAAAGGTATAATGAACTCTTATATTTCTCTCTTTCTTTCTTCTTTTCTAGGCTGCTGAAAATTTTAAATCGAAACCATTAATTATCAATGATTTGGATTTTTCGGAATTTCATAAAGATGAATTTGAGCAAGATCCATTAGTAATGGCTCGTTTAGCAGCAATAGCTCAGGAGAAAGGCCTAATTCCAGGTGCTAGCAGTAGTAGCATTCCACCAGGTAATAAATTATCATATCAATTTGAAATTTAATTTTTAACTTAACAATCCATCTTGTGATTAATGAAATTAAAAAAAAAAACCTTAAAATTTTAATAGCCATTTCATATTTTATTCCTGTTAAGATATTGAAGATACTTTATAGAAGATAACGGAAATCATTTAATATTTTAAGCCTTTATTTTAACCTAAATTTAATTTATAACATGCTAATCTTTAGACAATCATTCTAAGAAATAAAATTCTACTTCGAAATTCACAACTTTTTTCTGCGAATTAACTTAATCTTTTCACTTTTTGAAAATTATGAGATTTTTTAATTTAATTTGGTTGTAATTCAATTTATTTTTTAGCACCTGAAAGAGGACCACCGCCAGCACCACCTTTATTACCTGGCGCACCAGGTGCACCTCCACCACCACCTTTTTTGTCACCAAATGGTGGTCTAAATCAAAAAGGTCGCGATCCAAGTCCAGGTGAATAAATTTTTTTTAATTTAAAATTTGTGAAATAATTTTAGTGTATAAATATTCACTTCAGATTAATGTAGTCAATAATCTCACAAATGGAAATTTTCAAAAAAAAGGAATAATTTTTGAACTATCAAAATTAGTTCACATGAATGAATATTTAGTACCACCGGTATCAAAAACTGGTACACTAAAATTACATTGGAAACCTGCACAAGCTGAACTACCACCGGTACCATCATTGAGAAATAAGGGAACATTCTGGCATAAACTTGATTTACCACAAATTGATGCTAAAAAGTTGGTTCAATTATTCGAGCAAAAAACCAAAGAAATTCCTGCTGTTAAGGTAAACTTTATTTAAAATTTAACTCTTTAATTATTTCATTTCCTTATGTTCTCAAATACTTCTAATGGTAATTATATAACAAATAATAAGAGTGAAAATGATTGCAAAAAAAAAATCAAATGAAAATTTTTTCAAATATTTTATATAATTTAAAATTTTTCATTCATTTTCTTCAATGGATATATTTTTAAATTTTGTTCAATCCTTATAGTATATAAAAAAATTTAATTATATTTAAATTTTGTCAGCTTTTTTTTCACTAACTTTTATTTCTTCCTTAATTTGTTTATGATGACTTTTTTTTTGCCTAGCTGATAGCATTCAAATTTTATGATTTTTTCAAAAAAAGAAAAAAACCCTTAGGATGTCCTAGATTTTCGGCATTTATGATTGTGTCTTCCGGTTGAATAACGAATATAGTTTGCGTAATATTATGGGTCGAATAATGAATATAGGTGCGGAGTGTTACGATTGAATAGTAAATATAGTTACATGGAGTATTCCGCTTAAATAATGAATATAGTTCTGCGGAGTATTTCTGTTGTATAATAAATGTAATTAGTCGTGCGGAGTGTCACGGTCGAATAATAGCACTGTTGTGCGGAATATTACGTTGAATAATGAATATAATTAGTCGTGCGGAGTGTCACAATTGAATAATTGCGCGATCATGCGGAATATTACATTTAATAATGAACGTATTTCATATTTTTCCGTTCTTATTTTAAAGAAGAAGTTAGCAAATGTTGATACATTTTCCACTTCCTCTCTACTTCTATTTATTACGTTTTATATTTTCTCTTTCTCTGTACTATTTTGTTATGTTTTATAAACAATAACAAAAAAAAAAAATTTCATGAATTTTTACTACAATCTTAATAAGAAATAATTGGAAGAATGATTTTTAAATAATGTTTGTTTAAATTTTTTTTTAGCGGCTCAATGGTGAACATCGGGCGCAAATTCTTCAAGTGCTACCGTTAAAACGATCACAAGCGATCAATATTGGTTTAACTAAATTACCACCAATAAGTGTTATTCCAACTGCTATTATGGTAATAATATCAAACATTTATCATTTCTTATCTTACTTTTATCAACTTTTTTGTTTTTCCAAAAAATTAAAATAAAAGTTGAAAATAAATAAATAATAAAATGAGCATAAATATTAATGAAAATTTTTAGAAATTCGATTCACTGGTACTAAATAAAGAGGGTATTGAAAAAATTCTTACTACAATGATGCCAAATCCAGCGGAAATTGAGCAAATTGAGTTAAAAGTTGCGGAACATCCGGATATGCCGCTAGGTCAAGCGGAACAATTTCTTCTTAAACTTGCACAAATACCATGCTTGTTGGAAAGGCTGAGACTTTGGATTTTTACATTGGACTATAAAAATTGTGAAAAAGTGCGAGGAATTTTGTATTTCTTCTTTTTTTTGCTTTTCTTCATAAAATTTATTAGAAATTTGAAAATTTAGGAACTTAAATTTCTTTTGAAATTTAAAACTTTTTTACTTAATGACAAGTTAGCATAATGTTAATTAAATGATTCGTGATAATATTTATGTTTTATCCTTCTTTTTTTTGGCAATTTTTAATCTAATTTACTTTTCCTTTCCTTTTTTTGGCTTTTTTCATTCATTAATTATAAATTTAAGAATAATTTTGTATTATCAAAATGAAATTTCTCTGATATCTTTTTTTTTTTGATTTTTCTTTTTTAAGGATATCGCAGAACCATTAATGGATTTACAATTAGCAATGAAAGAAGTTGAAGAATCGAAAACATTTCGTACTGCTATGGGAATGTTATTAATAATTGGAAATACATTGAATGGAACTAATGTAATTTATTTTGATTGAGAGATTTTATTTTTAAAACTTTAAAAGCATTATTCATATTCAAATTTTGTAATCGTAAATTTCATTTCAAATTTTTTGTAAAAAATTTCATTTCTTTGGTAAAAAAAATTTCTTTAATTGAAAGTATTTACAATATTTTTATTTTATTTTTTATTTTTAAAGATATTTATTTTATAACTTTAGCATTATTCATATTCTTTTAAATTTCACATGTAAAAATATCAAATTTTTTTTTGTAAATTTCATTTCAAATTAAAACTTTGGTTATTTTTTTTTTTTACAGATTAAAGGTTTTCAATTGGATTATTTAAGTAAAGCATCTGAAGTAAAGGATCCGGTTTATAAGCATACGTTAACATATCATTTAGCCGAATATATGATTGAGCATTGTTCAGATGGAACCGATTTATATTCCGAATTTGGTGCTGTTGCACGTACTGCTAGGGTGAAAATTTTTTTTTTCTCTCTCTCTCTCTCTCTCTCTCTGTCTCTCTCTATTTGTTTTAAAATTTTCAATTTGATCGAAAACTTAGTCAAATTAAAATTATTTATAATTTATAAAGAGTAACATGAATATATGCATGATATAATTTTTTAATTTAAATTGAAATCAAATTTAAACCTTTTTTTTCTTTCTTTGTTTTTAGTTCGATTACGATGAATTGGAGTCAAATTTAAAGAAATTAGAGCATGATTGTAAAGCATCATGGGGTTATTTAGCTAAAATTAGTAAAAATGATAGCTCATCATCGATGAAACAAAAGATAAATGATTATTTAAATGATGTAGCACAACGAATTCATCAACTTAAAGCAATTTATCGAATTGCTTTTAACAGGTTAGTAATCAACGAAAATATTTTTTGTATTTTTTTTATTTTATAATTTAACATAATTGATATTTATTAATAATTTTTCTATCTTGCTTTTTATCTTATCATTGCATGCTAAAATGAATTTTGCAAGTTTTTTTTTTACGATTTATTAAAATTTTTCGATGCCTTATCAAAGAAAAAAAACGAAATTTTGATATCTTATCGAAATTTCATTTATCATGTTAAATTATTAAAATAAAAGAATAAATTTTATAATTATCATCTTGTCAAAAATTTTTATAAATATTTTTAATTAAAAAAAAAAATGTTATTTAAAAAACATTCCTAAATTATACAAATGATTTTCTTTTTTTTTTTTTTTTTTTGAAATTTTTTTTAAGAAATTCTTTGTTTTATTTCTTTTTTTAATTAATTATTTAATTGATTAAAACAAAAAATTTTGCTAATTTTATAGATGGCATGCATTTTTGCTCTTTTTTGGCTATAGTATTCATGAAGTACCAACATTAAAGCCAATGAATGTTTTCAAAATGGTTAACGAATTTGCGCTAGAATATCGTACCACACGTGATAAAATTTTACAACAACGGAAACGATTAGCTGATAAACGTGAACGTAATAAAACACGTGGTAAGATATGGGCATTAGAAAATGGTCAAAATGATGATAAAGATGGTATGGAATTGAATGGTAATTTAAAGCGTACACCAATACAAATGAATGCTGAACAGGTTAGTTAGTAATAATTAAAAATTATTTTAATTATATGCTACATTTTTATGTTTTAAAAATTAAAATTAATCCAAAATTTATATGACGTTTTTCTTTTTTTTTTTTTTTTTTTTACAATTTATTTTGTGACAGATTAATAATGATTAAAAACATTTTAAATATTGGAATTGTATGCTACATGCTGCATTTTTATGCTTGAAATAATCCAAAATTTTATTTTCCTTCCTTAATTTACAATTTATCTTTATTAGACTTATTTCATTATTTAATGCAACTAATAGGATTTATATTAATTAGTACCAAATCATGCATCCATTTGTTAATCAATTTATTCTATTAATTAGATCTAATCGATTAGGCATTAAATTTTTTTGCTACTAATATGATAACTTTTAGTTTCTCTTTTACTTTTGTTTTTTTAGAAAAAAAAAGATTTTTAACTTTATGTTTGTTAGCTATTTATGTAGGAATAAATTACTCGATATCAAAAAGCATTTAATTTTCTTGCTATCAGTTTTTGCTACAGAATTTTAAAATATATATGAAGTATTGATTGATTTAAATTATCAGTTAAGTTTTTTGTTTATAATTTAAGCGACATGAAGCAATGTCACGTATGCTAACTGGCGGAAACAATGATGATACGTTAAAAAGGATACGAGGAAAGCCTACAGCTGAACGATCACCTGCTGATATTATTTCAAGTCAACGAGAAAGTATGCTTTTTTTATGCTAATTTATTAATTTTAAAAATACGATACACATTGATAGTTGGAGAATTTTTTCATATCAGTATTTAATCAGTAATAAATATCGATTAATTAAAAAGATAATTGAATTAAAAGTATTAATGTCTCTTATATTAATAATAAAATATTTTTATATTGATGGAATGTAAAAATAAAATATATTATTTATAAAATTAATAGTAAGAATTAGTAAAATAAAATACATTAATAGTAAAATAATGAAACAAAAAAAAAATAGGAAGTAAAATACGATTATAATTTTGAGTATTTATAGTGCTGAGATCAGTTGGACGTTTAACTGATTCCGGAAGTCCTGGCCAGGAATCACCGGATGATGAAATTCTTGATGGTCTTGTAAAAGCAGCAACAATTCAAACGGAACCACGTGATCATCGTCGTAGAGCTAGGCAATTTAATCGCAAATCTTGCAAGTTTTTTTTTTTTTTCTTTCTAGAAAATAACTTCAAAGATTTTTAATTATTCTCAACAAATGTTATGAAATTTTCAAATATTTTATCATTAACAAATTTTACTGATTAAAAAAAAGAAAAACATTTTTAATTTAACTACATGAAACTATCCAATCATGATTATCTTATTTAATTTAATTGCAATTTAATTATAATTATTAAGTTTTAATTTTGATCGAATCATACACATATAATATATAATTATAAAATTTTAATTAATTGCAGATTTGATCATGAAACTTCTTATGCTTCATTTGCTAGGATGAATTGAAAAATTAAAAGATACTTATTATTATTTCAATTTTTTTATTGTTATTCAATTACTATTATTCAATTTTCGAATTATATTATATGAACTTACTTTATTCCAATGTGTAATTAAACCATGATATATAAAATATAATTATAAAGCTCTAATTAACCATAAATTTAAATTCCAATTAACTACAAATGATTAAACTATGAGTGTAAATCCTTTTTTCGTTCATTTTTAATTATCTATCTACTTATTTTCAGTGAGGCGTACTCGAACACTAAAACTTGTTGATGATCAATCTAGTAGCACAGTTACAACTGTCTAAAATTTGAAATGTTTAAATTTTATTTCACATTAAATCATTATTGCTCCCTATTTACAGATAATTTTTTTTTCTTCTGCTCGAAAAAAAAAGTGATAATTCGAAAACGAAAATAATACTTGAAAATTGCTATTATCAATTATTACTGTTTGTTTGTCATCATCAATTAGAATCCAAATTTTAAACACTAGCAATATTGATTAGCAGTAAATAGTTGTCAGCAACAACTTTTTCATGTTTAAAAATCAACACTGATTAATTTAAGCAAAGAATAAAAATTAAAATTTAACTAATATAAAGAAAATATCTGCCTATTGCAATTATTTGCATTTTGTTAAAACTTACTTCTCCTCGTTGAATTAGTTTAAATGTAGAAACATAAAAGTAAAATTAAATTTAATGCCATTCCTTCTAATAGGGAAATTGCGCCTATCGTTTTTCTTTCCTTTTTTTTTTCTTTTGTATGCTTTCTTCTCAACAAACAAATTAAAAAAAGAAAAAATTCCTGGAATAAATTCCCGAAGCAAACGGGTCTTTTCTTTTGCGCCTTCTCTTTTACTATAATTTTCCCCTATATTTCTCAAAATTAAATACCAAATGACTTTTCCTTTTTTTTGCATATGTTTTGCTGTATGTAAATTGCTATATATGTTGTAGCTGTTTTTGATATATAATATCGTTTAAATCTTTTTTTTTTGTTGATATTTTTCAACTTAACTCATTATAAAATTATTTATGCATGTAATTGTGATAAAATGATAAATCCTTTCAATCAAATGATATGATATAGTAGTTTTGATTAAAAAAATATTACAATTACCATTTTCGAGATCAATATTTGCATTCTTGAAGATACGTACAGGAAAAAGTGAAAAAAAATAGAAAGAATCCATTTTTAGAAAAAAAAAGAATGATTGAATATATTAAATAATTGAATGAAATTACAGAATGTTAGACCAGAATACATAAGTCATCTTGTTGACAATTAACATTAACTATCAGATATTGGATATTATGAAGTCAACAGATGGATGATTTACATATTGTCCTCATTTCCTATTTTACCATTTATTTTAATTTGAAGTATAAAGTTAAGATATTGGTAGAATAAATATATAAGTTATTATAATTTTATATGGTGTCATCCTATTACCTTCTTATCTTGTATATTCATTAAATTTAAATTATAACCATTAATGAAAATGAACATACTGTGGCTCATTCATTCATTTTAGTTTGTGTATTTTGATATACATATGAATTCATGTGATAGATAAGTTTTTTGATCACAACTTTGCAATCTAAACAACGATTCATCAATCAATGCTATAAAACAATATATAAGTATAAAGAACAAAAAAATGATCTGATTAACGAATTAAACAAGTTACTCAATAGCTTATTTCAACAATATACAAAACTTCAAATGTGAATATAAATATAAAATGTTTACCTTTGATATGCTGTATAAGTGATTCAAAGAATAAAGGCAAAATTCGTAAAATTTACTGAAATATCAGGAAAAGAATACAAGTAATCAGATCTGCAATTTTTTTCAGAGAATAAAATATTACAGTGATTCAAGATAAACATATTTTATTGAAACTTCCAAGATAACTCAGTTATCAAGTACATTGTATCTGCTAACATTGGTACAATGTATATCTAATAGAACGATATAAAAAATTTCTAAAGCCGAAAATGCCGGTTGTCAAATTGTTCTTTTGCATTATTTAAATTTTTAATTGTGACAGTTAATCCAATCTCTTTCCATTTTCTCAAAAAATAATCTTAAAATATAAAATAAATCTAAAAGAATTTTTCACAGCAAATTTAAACGAGAGAAAAGAAGAACATCTAAAAGCATGTAAAAAAATCATTAATCTTCATCCGAACTTTCACTTAGCTGTAAATCATCATGCAATAATTTCTTCGTATTACTATTAACCGGAAACGGTGGTGGAGGATAAGATTTGATTTGTTTTTGTTTTGTTTCTTCAATTGCTGGCATTGATTGTGAACGTAGTTGTTGTTCCAACGCTTCTGAAAATGCTCACACATATAAAAAGAAAGAGCGACAATTTGACGATTTTCTTAATTAGCATCATTTTATGAACTAAGGATAATAAGTAGCTTTATAATATATATAAACTAAGGATAATAAGTAGCTTTATAATATATATATATGATTGAATCATTTATCATACATAAAAATAAATTAGTATCTTGAGAAGTATGATTAAAGTAGCTAATCATATATAATAATATAGAGATATAGATTCTTATTCCCTTCTTCAATAGCTACTACCTTAGTTTATAGCTGCATCCGATTAAAAAACAAAAAATAAAGAGAAAACAACCTTGTAAATCATCATCATCACCAGTATCACTACTCCTACTTCTAGAATCATCACTACTGCGCATACTTTTTGATACCACAGATGCTGATTTCCTATCTCCGTCGTTACATTCTGAATCTGAATCACCCGATTCAGATGATACGGCCGTTGATGAACCACTTGAACTCTAAAAACACAAAACTAATAATGCCAACAAACCGAAAAGAATGCAATAAAAAAAAAAAAAAAAAACTAATCGTCGTGCTATTTCTTTAACCTTTCCTTGTTCTAATAATATTTTCTTTGGAAAGATTCGAAAAGCAAAAATCATAAATTCAATAAAATGTGAACTTAATACAGGTATTGAAGTTTAATATAACTATTAAGCAAGCTAACAAAATTATGAAAATGAAGTCAAGAAATAAACCTTAGTATCATCCATTTCATCATCTGACTTTTCGCCACTTTCTTTCCGTAATCGTTCAATTTCGGATCGTAATCTTACCGAAGCACTATCTTCGTTACCCCTGGAATATACTACTATAACTAACCTGATATAAAACATCCTCAATCAAATTTATGTATTAATTAACGATACTGCCATGATAAATGATTAATTCCAAAAAAATTTCCATTTTTAATAGTGTCCAGAAGCTTTGGAAGCTTTTTTTTCATATCAAAATGCTTTTGCAACCAATTTTATTTTAAACTGCTCCTTTAATAAGCTGTATTGAAGTAATTTTAAAAATAAAAAAAAAAAAAAAGCATTTTGATTCAATAATCACAGAAATGAGCATATGTTGACCATTCGATCTTTAAACAAAACAAAAAATGAGTCTCAATATTATAATTTCTCATTGAAACGTATGTAGTAGCAGCACGACAAATCATTGCGCTAAGTTATTAGATTAATTCACTGATTAAACTTTTAGGCAATCTGGCTATCACTTCTAAACAAATGATGAAATTTTCTTAAAATAACTGTAATTTCTAAAAAATATTCTAACTATCATAATTGCCTAAATATTACTATCTATTACAATTACTATGTAATATGGTAAAATATTTTGATTTTTAGGCAAATTTAAATTTGATCATTTTAACAACACAGGAAAATGATACCTTGTTTTCTTTACAGACATTACTGATGAAAGCTTTTCAATTCTCATCTCACCGGTCAAGTGATCAAAAAACAACAAACATTCTTTCTCCCCTTTCACTGGCTTTTGTGCTCCTTTAAATACCGTTAAAGCATCACCTTCACCTGGTACTGCTACCTGTAAATAGAAAAGAAAATAAGTGGCACATCAAATATATTCACAAAATTTTTTCCTTTAGTTCCAAAAAAAAAGTGCTTTTGAGAGGTGAAAATCTCACAAGAAAATATAACTAGGAGCATTGTTATTTAGTATTTGATACTGTTAAATTCATCGAAGTATTAATTTTCTTCAAAATTTTGAAAAAAAAAATTTTTTTTCTTCAAAAGATTTCAAAAGAAAAAAGTCACCAAAATAAAATGAGAAAAAAAAAAAAACAACCTGTACATCACCATTTCCACCAAATACTATGAATGTTTCTTTTTCTCCGGCCAATGATTTTGGCTTGAAATCAACTGCAAACATATTTTTCTTTTTTTAATTATTCAAGAGAACAAGCAAAACTTTTTGATTTGGATATAAGTACAATCCATTCGTGTTCGATTATCCTATTTATTGCTTTGATTACATTAAAAAAATGTTTTAGAATGTTATATATTCTTTGCTTTTAGACAATTAAATGTAAATTTTCCACTATATTTCATTGATTTTTATATTAATACTAATAAAATATTTGAATATACTAATTAGTTAATAGTTGGAATAACTTACATTGAAGTGTATGATAGATAGGTTTTTCTCCTCGTTCATGGAATGATTCGCCAAATTTTAGATTATACGTTCCGGATGGTATTTCACGTACTTCTGTCATTCTGTAATAAAATTCTTTTTTTTCTATAAATTCCTTCGTGAATAAAATCAGGAATTAGTTCAGTCACCTGAAAATATCTTAATTTCATGACAATATTCCATACTATAAACCCTAACATCTCTTCTTTCACTCATCAGATTAGAAAAATTTTACGAGAGAATTTAGAGGAACATAAGCGAACAGTTAAATAAACGTATGACTTTTGAACTCAAATTAAAATATATCAATTAAATCTTCATTGCAATTTATAATTTTAACAATTACGTAAGTAAAACTTCAACATCCTTTAACATTTCTATTTCTGAAAGAAAAAAAAAGAAAAAAAATACTGCAATTTAATCGATAATATGATAAAAATATCAATGAAATAAATTTCTTTCAAACACTTTTCTTCTTGCTTTGTTGTTTTCATTTTATAATCAATTGTTATGCGAAAGAAATTAGCACATGTACTAATATACGTAACCAATATGTAAACAGCGTAAAAATACATACGTAAAACAAATTTACGTAAAAATACAGACGTATTAGATATAAAATATATAAGAAATAGAATGTTAAAGAATGTTGAAAATTTTTAACATTTGAGATTTCTTTAAATAGATAAAAAAAAAGAAAAGAAAGAAAATTTAATGATAAGAAATGATTCGTTCAGAGAAAAAAAAAAAGAGAAAAAAAGGATGCTGAAGCAATTTA